CCGATGTTTACCTTACAGAATAAGCAATTCACATCGCATTGAAATGCAAAACACTTCAAATCCTATTTTGAACAGTAGTGTGATTCAATGTGCAATACAATAAAATTCATAGAGAAAAATTATCAACATTTCAAAATTTCAAACACTAGAAATCAACGTATAGAACACATTGAACCATGGTGAAATACACTTAAAATAAATGTGATTGCTCATATGAAAAATCAAGTGTTTAAACACTTCGATCAGACCTGTGGACTATTTGACTGTAGTGAGCAATTTGTTTAATTACCCTCTATCTAACGGTTTTCACTCAAATGAGTAACTATCCCGAAGATGTGAACTTTCTACATGGCCGTGATAATAAGAAATGAGGCTTTATTTTTTTCCTCTGTTCGGGACCTAACACCAGCTGCGGCCAGTAATTTGATCTATTGTATTATATCCCGTGTCTTTAGTTTAGTGCAAGCCGTATTACTCCATCACTACTGAGAAATGATCAAGTATTCGATTTCTTTTACAGTTGTCATTCTTGCATTTATCGCAAGGATCCGACTCTAATTGAAAGGTCCCGCTATTTATACCCTTCGGAGTGTTGAAACACCCTCAAAAGGCGCGCCCCTTTGTCAGTCCAATTTGGATTCCTTAGCAACAAAATTCAGGAATGACACCGACAATGGCTATGCATCCGAACCCTAGTCTTAACCACTTCAAACTAGGGAACAACGAATAGAAGATTAGGAATCACATAGATGAAGACTAACTAACTCATTTTTTACTTGTTTCAAGATCATCCTCGATGCACAAAGCCGAGTCTTGCCACTATCAACAAGGCATAAAAGTAACAAGGACTTAGATGTGTTCCTTTTAATACTGAAAAATCCTTTTCCCCTAGTTTGAAGTAGTCAGGACTAGGATTCGGTGGTAGATCTTACATCCCGTAACATACCACGAAAAGGTGATCAACCCACGTTACGGGGCAATGAGGCACTGTACTATTTTTAATTTTAATTTTGCTCACTAGGGGCACCTAGTGATACATTTTTAAATTATATTATCCGCTATCTGGAAAGACTCGCTCACCTGAAGAACTTTACCAAATACGAGAGCTTTCCATATGCTCAGGATCAGTAGAATTCAGTGAAAATAATATTTTGCTCACAAATGCCTCCTAGAGAGCTTATTTTGAACGACTATCTGTATCTGTCATTAGAGAGATTTATTTACATGACTTACTATGCCAAAGACGCAAACTATAAGAGAAATGAGACTTATCAATATTTTGCTCATTGGCACCTTTTTCAACTAAACTTTAGTCTATCTGAAATGTCTAGCTAAGCTGAAGAGCTTTGTAAAACAGTGGAACTTAGTAGAACTGAGTCATACTAGAGTTTGCTTACTAGCGCAACCTGGTGGGTAAATTTCGAACAGCTATGACCATGTTACAGTCGCTATAAATCAATGGAGACGCTTAGAAGTCTAGTCCCATAAAAGTGTTGAACAAAAACCCAAGACTTGATAACATAAAAAAAAATATAACTCAAAAGCGAAAAAGAACACATTGCTGATTGTGTAAAAAAGCCAAAATTTTCAAGGAAAAATTAAAAACATATTAAGCCCACTGTCTACAAACCATGAATATCATAAAAAAAAACTAATAGAATTTATGTTGTTCAAAACCAATTCCTTTTTTTATATGACAATTTTTTAAAAATATTTTCAATTATCTTTCATTTGGAATTTTGATCTTTAAAATCGTCTCAGTGGTTCAAAAGTTTTGAATTTTTGAAAAAATAAACTTTTTTAAAACAACCCCCTTCGATTTCTATAATTTTTTATTGTAAAGAAAGTTGTTGTAATGCCTTAAGATTTAGTGAAGAGTTTAAATAAGCTGGTTAATTAATTCATAAACATTATATATTTTCTTAAATTTTCTTTGATTTTCAAAATAAATCTAAATTGTATATTTCTAAGTGAAATAATAATTTATTTGGAATTAAAGATTTTTTTTTTGGTAAATCTGCATATGTAAACTTTTTTTCTCATGTCTAACCGTCTTCTAGTTAATTCGAATTTAACAATGCAACAATTATTAATTTGCAATATTTTAGACCATTTTCTTATATTGATCGCAATGTCCAGCAACAAAATGAGTTTTCCATACATTGTATCATTAGAAATAGAGAATATATTTATTGCAATTTGGTTGTATGTGACTGGATTATAGCAAGGATATTTTATAGTTCCAGGAAATGGTTTTACTTTCTTAAAAATCGGATCCAATTTCTTGTCAGCCTTCTTGTATTCTTCAGTAGAAACATGTAATTTTTGTTTGAAGATCCTCTTTACGACTATTTGCCCAGTCATACAGTTGTTTAGAGTACACCACTGCTAGAAGGTTGATTCACATCTTGCTGCATTCCATCATTCGAAGGCGTTTTGTTCGATGGCAAACGAACTCATATCTCAACACTCATATCAATAGAAGTAAAGTTTCAGAGTGAAATAACTTCGGAGTTTCTTATCTTATCGATTATTAAAAAACAATTTTTCAATTTCGTAAGCATATTAAGAGATGAAGGGGGAGGGGGGCTAACTATACCTCCACCCCCTCACTCATATAAATAAAGGTAAGGCTTCAAACTGCAATAACTTCAGTGTTTCTGATCTTGTCAAGTTGGTATCTTCAGATGTATTCACAAACATGTGCTCCATTTAATAGGCGTAGTTAGATATGGGGGGGCTTACTGTATGCTTTCCGGGGCTCACTTATATCAATGAAAGTAAAGAAAAAAACTAAAATAACTTCGGAGCATCCCATTTCTCGAGTTGGTCGGATGGGTTATTCAAAAACATTTGCTTAATCTCATAAGAGCAGTTGTAAAGCGAGTACTACCATTCTCTTTTCTACTATTTTGGTGCAGTATATAATGTCAGATATATTCACACAAATGTCATTAGATTGTAATGATTAAATTTAATTTTAAAATATTCTACGATTTCTCAGGGTACTCTTTTCGATGCTCTTCTATCCTTAGATATATTAGAAAATATTGCTAATATTGCAAATATTCCTGTTGAACTAGGTTTCGGGTGGATTTCTTGATAAGTCAGATATTAGCCTCACCCCTCATTCAGCCATATCGTTGACAACCATCAAGGAAGCAACTCGTTGTATCGCATTGAAATAATCTGTATCATTACTCCACTCGTTTACCGGTTTTTGCATGAAGCCGGTCGAAATTTCGAAAAGGAATCAGCACTGTTAGATGTGATGTTTGGCTTGGGAGCCCAACTGAAACATAGGCCACTTAAAGTTAGCCCAACAAGCGAAATCCGACTGCACCTACAAATTTCAAACGCAATGCGGAAAGCCGAGTTACAACCAATCGTCCCCAAATTTTGCACAGTTGTTTGGGACTCCAAATGGAACCAAAAAAGGGTTGTTCCCTATTGGTGCGGTAAAGTTAGCATTTTTCCATATAACGATGACCCACTCTACTATTTATGATTGTTGCCTCTATTTTGACAAACACAATTCTACTCAAGTATACAGCTTATAGAGGCCTGAAAAAAAAATAATTTGGCGGGTTTGTCAGTGTTGGGAAAATATAAAAAAAAAATCAAATCTCACCAATAAGGCAGATCACGCATGATTTTTGCAGACAAAAATCAACAAGCAAGCAACTGCGAATGATATTACAAGCTGTGATCTCGTAGCTACGAATATCAAGCTAACAAAACTCACTAGCTACAATTCTAACCAAACCGTGGTGAGTTTGAGTTTCATGATTTTTGTTACACCAGAACGTGATCCGAAGCTACCGTCACTACTGGCGGCAGTAGCTTCGTATCTACCAACGGTGAAGAGAACAGAGAGATAAAAAACAATATTTTCTCTTTTTACGCTTCATTGATTCGCTCAGCTTTATTTTTACATCGTAAATAGTGTGAATAGTCTCCCATATCGAAGGAGCTTGTAAAATCAATATCAAGCATGATATTTTTTTTTTTTCAATATCACACGTAGTATTGAGAGCGTATGAGAGCGGAAATATCATTTGATTGATGATTTTTCCAACACTGATTTGAGTATCAACTTATAAATTCTTCCACTGAAAATCACGACTGATGAACGGCTGGACTTAAGAAAAAAGCTTATGTATAAAAATCGATGGCGATTCAAGCATTATGCGTAGTTTCTAAATAAATTATAACTTTTCTAAGAAATATGCAATTTCGTTATATTTTGAAAATCAATTAAATTAAAAAAAAATATATTGATTTTTTTTAAACCAACTACCAACTTACACTCTTCCCCAAGTTTTAGAAAATAACTGCAGTTATTTTTAATTATAAAAATTGATGACAGGGTGTTGTAAGGAAATCAACGTTTTATGTATTTTTTACTTTTAATATACTGATTTTATTGTTTTCGTCTTTTTCTTTCTCAAAGAACATTTAATTACTTACAATTTTTCCTTAAATGTCATTTTGATCAGATCAATAATTTCCATGTTATGATTTTTAGAAGAAATGTAATCATAAATACGCCCAAAAAAAGTTACTCTCGAGAAAACAATCATATTGAAATGAAAAATTCAACCATTAGTAGCAATCGGAAGCACTCATGTCCATCCAGTTTGCGTTTTGGGCTGTAAATGCTCTTAATGGTTATACTTCTGCACTAGATTCTTTAGACAACCACGAACCAGTGATAGCAAGGAAAGCAAACGCATAATAAGCAAGTCTGGGAACAGACCTTAGATCGAAATATTTAAGTTTAACGTACTGTGCTTTATTTGTGCTAGCACAATACATTTAACTTAAATATTTTGATCTCGGACTTGCTTATAATGCGCTTATTTTAAGTTACTGTAAGTCAAGCAAAGACAAGCATTACCAAAAACTGGTCAAGTATTTTATGGACAGACCCGTAGCAGATTGAAATTTTTTAAAAAAATTATCAACAAATTTTTACGTTTCGATAATTCATCATACAGCGCCACCATGTGAGGGCACAGCAGAACATCATGGAACAGGGCAAGATTGCTGTAATTGGTGCAATCGCTAAGGGCAAAGAAGTCATTGACCATGGGGTGAACGTCAAATCGGAACGGCAGCAATCCTACGGTTCGTATTGTTGAATCTGGTAAACTATTGAAAGCATTCTCAATCATTCCTTTTCCTTTATATATTGTACTAGACATCTTTGGTTTGAAGTTCGATACGAGCAATGGTGTGGGCTCTGGATTTGGGGATGCCGCTACGGAGAAAAACCTCAACAGCGTGGAGGATGATTTGGTTCGGCGCAGGAAGCGTTCGCTGGATGTACTGGAAGCACTGCGGGCCGCAGGATTGATCAGTAACTCTGCAGGGGGAACCAATGTAAACATTGTGAAAATAAACAGCGTTTCCAATGTGAACAACTATGGACCGGAGACAACAACTGAGGGTTCTACGCGCAGGAGGAGGTTGATTGGGAACTTTCATCGTCCATTGGTTTTCAGTGTGCTGGATCAAAAGGTATCATACGTGAGCAGTGATACTGAATTACATAAAAATGAACTGTTTAAATCGCACACGGAAGGTGAAAGTCATTCGAATCATTTGGAGAAGATGGAGGAAAAAGAGGTTTATGGACCCGCTATAAGGAACAGGCGATCACTTCGAATTGATACTGTAGATAAAAGTCAGGGACCGGTCAAAACGGATTATTTGATGCAAAATGATGACCAAAAGTTATTTGGAAGCCCAAAAATTAAGAGATCGTTGGTCTTGAGTAATTTGGAAAATAAAGCTTCCTACTTCACCAGGCGCTCAGAAGCTAAAGCCGACGGATCCATGAAAACTCATACGTTTACTGGATCCCGAGAGGCAAAATTGAGCAAGCTTTCAATTGAACCTGAATCAGAGGGTCAACGGAGAGCGAAACGTTCACCTCAGGAGATGGATGAGGGCACAGTTACGACTGATCTACCTCCGCGTAACAGAACGCGTCCCGGGCCTCCCGATAGCGATGGAGGTGGTCCTCCTTCAGGTCGACCAAGGGGACCTCCTCCCGATTGTGGTGGTGGTGGTCCTAAAGGTGGCCGCAAAGGTGGTCCAGGAAAAGGTCGAGGCCCGCCCCCACCACCTTCTGAAGAGAGCGATGAGGATCAAGCCAACGATGCGGCACAGCGAAAGAAACGTGAAACTTCCGGCGATGAAGTTTCTAATGAGAGCAACTCCAGTTATTACAGTGATTCATCGAGTAGCGAAGAGCATACGGGTCAACGTAGAAGGAAACGAGAAATCAATGCTAATTCTGGCGATGGAAATGACACTGGAACAGATTCTAGTGATTCCAGCGCATCCAGTTACTACAGTGATTCATCCAGTAGTGAGTATAGCGATTCAACGAGTGAAGAAGATCAGGACTCTGAATCAAACGACGGCGGGGAAGATACGCAGGACGAAACCACTGGGAATGAAGATGACGTGCAACGTACTAAGCGATCACCTTGCAAACGATCAACGACGCTACCGCCGGATGAGTTGAAGAGAAGAAAACGAGAGGCAGAATCGCAAGAGGATGCCGGAGAAAAAGTTGAAAAAGATGTTGCCTGGTTTTCAGATGTGATGAATAAGTTTTTCAGAGCTGTGAAGAAGGTGGCCGATACGGCAAAGCAAGTATTTAGCGGAGGTAAAGCGGAGACAGGTGGTGAGGGCAATCCTGATGCAGAACGAATGTAATCGCGTACCCGTTTATCATATTTTTTATTATTTTCAAGAAGTTGCGCAAAACTTTGTGGCAATTTTACATCACACGATCATAAATAAAGACAAAAAAAGCAAGCATAAAACATAATTGAGTGTACATGGATCAATCAATTTTGAGAGGATTTGTGATTTTTGTATTCAGTAGGAATATCACTACATGCCATGTACCAGCATGTACCCTACCATAGTTATCAATATTTTCCTAAAGAGAATGTCTATGGAGCAAATCCAGGCCAAACAAAGTGAATTCCAAAGATTCCCTTCCTTTGATTGACTCTACATTTTTCATGTTCGATATTTTTCAATAAGTCATAGCTCGAAACCGTCTCGTTTCATCTAAATGACGTCTGAGACAAAAAAGTAAAGACAATTTATGAAAAAACTACTCCCGGTGGTAAAAACCCCCAAATTGATAAAAGCTTCACTAGCAAAAATAGCGTATTTTAAATATTGTTATACTGACATACACAACATAATAGCATGGGGGGCCTCCCTTAGCTCAATCGGTAAAGGCGCAGCTACAAAGAAAGACCATGCTGGAGGTGACTGGTTTCGATTCCCGGTCCGGTCTAGGAATTTTTCGGGTTGGAAAATTTTTCGACTTCCACAAGCATAGAGTATGATTGTACTTGCCACACAATTATACTTGGTGAAAATTTTGGGCTCCCTGTCTCAAATCATTTGCAAGTACTTGAAATCTTTACTACGTCCTCAGCTTGAGCATGTAATAGAACTTTTTGACGTTTAATCGCCATTCTCTATCTAGCACGCGAGGATGAATGGATTCATTGTTTTCCCACTAACTTGATTTCCTCTTGCTTGCACTCCAGTAGTATGCGCCGATTAAACGTCCAAAACGATCTATGAAAGGTAAAAAAGACGAACTGTAACATAACCTTTGGACGATCGATTTTCAAAATACTGGTTACTCACTGATTTTTCAAATGTGCGCCCTCAGCCACCTAAATTTGCAGTAAGCGTTGCCCTTATCTGCTTTCACATTTTTTTTAACTCTTTATTTGTTCCAAATTCAAAATAAATTACGTTTCATTTTAACTTAGGTGCTCCAGTTACTACAGTAGCTTACCAGCCTTAATTGTTATGATACCCAGACAACCAGAATGCACGTAAATTCTAAGTTGTTTCTGTGATGTACAAACATATTTACACACAATCAAATCATAATTTTTGCCTGAAATTTTTAATTATTTTGTTGGACATTTGCGCTAAAGTCTCAACATTCGAAATTTTATGTACCTCAGTAGTACTGTACCAGGGAGGCAACTTCAAAATCATCTTGAATTCTTTGAAGTGCTTTTTTCCTGGTAGTGCAACAACAAGACCATATTGGCACTGCGTAAAGCATGGCCGGTCTAAAAACTTGTTTAAATATTAGAAGTTTATTCCTCAGGCAAAGTTTGGATTTCCTGTTTATAAGAGGATACAAACATTTCATATATTTCTTACATTTGGCTTGAATGCCCTCAATGTGATCTTCAAAAGTTAATTTTTGGTCAAGTACTAATCCAAGATATTTCACTTGGTTTGACCAGGAAATTGGAACTCCGTTCATAGTGACTATGTGACTACTACTAGGTTTCAAAAAGGAAGCTCTAGGCTTATGTGGAAATATTATAAGATGAGTTTTGGAAGCGTTGGCAGAAATCTTCCATTTTTGTAAATAAGAAGAGAAAATATCTAAACTTTTCTGCAGTCTGCTGCAAATAACACAAAGACTTCTTCCTTTAGCGGAAATGCCTGTGTCATCAGCGAACAAAGATTTGTGGCAACCCTGAGGTAAATCAGGGAGGTCCGAAGTGAAAATGTTATACAATATAGGCCCAAGAATGCTATCCTGAGGAACTCCTGCTCTAACAGGTAGTCGATTAGATTTGGAATTTTTATAATTTACCTGCAGAGTTTGTCAGTTAAATATTTTTGAACTAATTTCATAATATAAAGTGGAAAATTAAACTTTTTCAATTTAGCAATCAAACCTTCATGCCAAACACTGTCGAATGCTTTTTCTATGTCTAGAAGAGCAACTCCAGTTGAGTGGCCTTCAGATTTGTTTGAACGAATTAAATTGGTAACTCTTAAGAATTGATGAGTAGTTGAATGCCCATGGCGAAATCCAAACTGCTCATCTGCAAAAATTGAGTTCGTATTGATGTGAAGCATCATTTTTTTTTTTAAATTATCTTTTCAAAAAGTTTCCTTATTGAAGAAAGCAAACTTATTGGAACGTAGCTAGAAGCTTCAGCTGGATTTTTATCAGGCTTCAAAATTGGAACAACTTTTGCATTTTTCCATTTATCAGGAAAATATGCCGGTTAAATAATTTTACCAAGAAAGACAAGGTACTCTCTGGGAGTTTTTTGATGAGGATATTGAAAATTCCATCATCACCTGGAGCTTTCCTATTTTGAAACTTTTAGTTATAGACCTTACTTCGTCCAAATCAGTCCCCTAGGAATCATCAAAAATATTTTCCCGAGAGAAAATTTTCAGAAAATCCCGAGCAACCTGATTCTCAATAGGACTAGTAAGACCCAAACTGAAATTATGGGAACTCTCGAATTGCTTAGCAAGTTTCTGAGCTTTTTCCAAATTTGTGATCAAAATTTTACCACCTTCTTTAAGCGCTGGAATAGGCTTTTGAGGTTTTTTCAAAATTTTTGTGAGTTTCCAAAAGGGTTTGGAACTCGGGTCTAATTTAGAAACATTATTTTCAAAAGTTTTGTCCCTCAGAGCAAAGAATCGCTTTCTAATTTGTTTTTGCAAATCCCGCCAGATAACTTTCATGGCAGGATCGCGTGTTCTTTGAAATTGTCTCCTACGGACATTTTTAAGACGGATCAAGAGCTGTAGATCGTCGTCTATTATAATTGAATCGAATTTAACCTCGCATTTTGGAACTGAGGCAGCCCTTGCTTCAACTTTAGAAGTAGTCAGAGATTCAAGAGCATAATTAATTTCATCTTTGGTTTGCAAAGGAATGTTTGGATCGAAGTTATATTCCATAAATGTTCGATATTGCTCCCAATCAGCTCTATGGTAATTGAAAGTAGAGCTGTTGGGATTACAAATTATTTCTTTGGATATTTCAAAAGTTACTGGAAGGTGATCAGAACCGAAGTCAGCATGGTTAACCAGGCACGGAAAATCATTTACATTCATTTCATGCAATCATTTACATTCATTTCATGCAATCATTTACATTCATTTGACTCTAACTTTTTTCATCAACAGAATTCCGCAAAATGATGTTTAAAGCTTTAGTAGGTTTAATTGAACTTAATTGGATACTCCTTGGCCAACTTGATATGTAGAGAATAACATTCCAAATGAAGACTTCTGCTGCATAGTCGTCTGATGCTATCCTTGATGAACTCTGCTTCCATCCTCTAAACTACACTGGGTGAATTGGGTGTCTGTACCGTATGGCTTATAGACAGGCTTGCTTCCACTTACTAGCATAGGTAGTTTTATATATACTTGACGTTTGCATTACATGAGGGGCTCGGAGACCTAGTGGTGACAACTTTTGCATACTGGCCCTTCTTCTTATTTGGCTTTATTACGTCCCTACTGGGGCTTAACGCCCTCAACTTGTTCAACGTGTTCTTTAAGCACTTCCACAATTGTTAATTGAAAGTTTTTTAAAGCATGTACCGTTTTTCCATTAGTATAATTGTGGTAGATAAGTGCAATACAGTCGAGAAATTTTTTAACCCGAAACATTCCTAGACCGAACCGAAAATCGAAACAAACCGCCTCCAGCATAATAATAGATTAATAGATTCTAAGACCACATCACTTGCTCATAGTGTTTTTGTTTTTTTAAGCATAACATGATTTTTCATAATCTTTATCAAGATGAATTCCTCATCGGTTCTTCCTGTGAAGTTCTTGAAAGTGCATTTGGAAGCGACCAACGCTGATATAACACAGCATGCATGAGATCACCTGTATTTGTACATTGAGGATGATCGCTATTCCCTACTGTTGATCTTTAAAAATTACGGAGAAGCAACCACGGGCGTTCAATCATGCTCGTTAGGGTGGGTACCCGAGCAAAGCTGGAGATCAAATTGAAATCAAAATTTGCTGTTATGATGTAGCTTATTTTGAATACTCCAGTTGATCTCATTTTGGTTGACTTAATGGTTAACACAGCAAAAATGAGAGCAACCTTTTTTACTGTTGAATCAAACAGAAAACTAATCTTGCTTTCAATTAAATCAATTTGAGTTCTGATTTTGCATTCATAATGTTTAACTGAATACGGGCCTGGGGCAAATCGTTAGCATCCATATGCTTCTCACACTGAAAGACTTGAGCTCAAATCTCAACCGGGCAAGTTACGAATGACCAAAAATATGATAAACAAAACAAATAAACAATAATCGTTAGTTCAACAACAGATGAACTTAAATTAATTTTTAACCAAGAAGTTAACAGCAGAAATTCTAGTTAAGTTGCTTACATTTAAAAAGTCTTGACTGCATAATGAAAGCACAATATGATATCAGACTAACATCGTGACAATTGAAATCAAAATGAGTTTTCATTATAATAGGAACTGCAAGCTTTGATATTGCTTTGCTTTCATTTTGTTAACCGACTTTGCTCGGGTAGCTCTCAACTGCTCACATATATCAAACAGCACTGCATAGTTATCATAAAAAGCTCAGCGAAAATGAAAAGTCCATCATAGAAAAATAGGCAGATTTCATGCCCTTATCAAAATGAAATGCAAATATTTCTCAGTTTTGAAAATAATTCGATCGATAGTTTTCATGATTCTGATGATTTCGAAAACTAAAAAAACAGGAATAAAAGGTAATGGTAGAAGGAAATCAATTTATCCGTAGGTATCTCTCTCAAGGTAAAATGATCATAATAGAATAATATGCCTGACATATCACGACAAAAATGATTAATGAATTATAATATCAAGTCAGTTCCGTAGTGATGCAACTATGATTCAATATAGAGAATTTAAAACATGGTCACGGAATATTACTGGCAATCATGCCATCCGGTTGGTGCAAACAAATAATGCACCTGTTTTGTGTTAAAGCAGCTTCAGGTGTTCTATCTTGATTTAGTGTGGTGTAATTGAACCAATTTTAAATAAATTTCATTAGCTCACATATAATTTGCTCAATATACCAACACTGTTCAAAGCG